TACACCGTTACACTGTTCCGCGTGTGTGTATGCTGCATGCGTTCGTGCATATGTGTGCGCCTGCGCTTGCATATGCGCACCTAAGCGTATAGCCAGCCATCGTTCACGTTTCACGCCAGTATGTTACGTACGTGTGTGCCTGTGGACTTCAATTACTATACAGACAACACGGTCGTCAAATCTAGATGTCTCGCAAAATATGGTCACCGAGCTAAGTAGCTGGTCGTCTTGAACCCACTATATATTAGGAGCACATTAATAGTGAACCCGTGATTAACGCAGACGCCAATCTAATTAGCCTGTGTGCGTAATCACATTAACATTAGTTATCTCCGAACTTCCGCGTCTGTGCTTCCCACGTAATACCTTAATCTTAATAACCGGTATACGCGCAAAATGTTTTAGATGAGAATTTACCGGGGTACATTACACGCTTCGATTCCTGCCCGCGGTAACTTATTATTGCTTTCCTTTCCTATTCTATCGTGTTCTCAACATCTCTATGCTAACGGTGAAAACACGCGCTATTCCACTCACAGGTCTTGATTGCACCTACGTAGGTTGTTTTTAGGATCTATGCCTCTCGGCAAGGAACGTAGCTAACTCATTTTTCCTGGGAGAGGGGCAACGCTAACGTGCGGCATGATTTCTTGACAGGTGATCGTAGGCAGCTCGCCATTGACCATGTAATAGTATGAGGGAGTGCATACTATAGAATTAGTGAGTATATTAAAGAGTATATTAATGTGTAATCTATATTATACACTCTTGATAGTATATCTACATCGGTGGCGGGGGCTGCCGTCCCCTTGTCCCCGCTAGCTACGGGCCTGGCGGTTATTTCTGCGTCGACTTAATCTATTTGCACAAGAAAAATATATTCTTCAATTGACATGTGGCGGGATTATGTAAGCACAAGACTTGCCTCAACACTACCCATGAATATATAATGGGTCGGCCTTCCCGGGTCTCTGTAGGAGGTGGGAAGAGTATTAGAGGGTGTTATATAGAGACAGAGTATCTGCAGAGCACGAGTGCGAGTGCGAGTGCGAGTGCGAGTGCGAGTGTGTGAGAGTATGTGTTGTAGAGTCCGAGCTATACAGTATGTGCATTTGGCATTGCTTTTATTTTATTCACAATCAGCCACGTGTTACTTCAAATTAAGCTCGCTCTCCCCCCTCTACACACACACACACACACACACACACACACACACACACACACAAGAGGGAGGGAGAGAGGGAGGGAGTCAGAGAGGGAGATATATATATAGAGAGAGAGAGAGAGAGAGAGAGAGAGAGAGAGGGAGGAGGAGAGGAAGGGAGGAAGTCAGGGAAGGAGGAAGGACGAACAGCCACGGACGGTAGGGGCGGCGGTATTTCTTTTATAGAATTTAGTACATTTTTATATTTGCCGTATATTCGCGCCGGTCGCACACGACACGTCATATTGTGGATGTGTAATTTTATGTATACACATATATATATATATGGAGAGAGAAGTGGAGGGAGGCCGAGAGAAAGGAAGGGATGGAGGGAGGTAGGGAGGGAGGGAAAGAGAGAGAGAGAGAGAGAGAGAGCTGTCACGTACGGCAGCGGCTGTTGGGAGTATTTTTTACAAGTAATTATTTTGCCGTACATTCGCGCCGTCGAAAACATGTGATTCAACGCACGACGCTGTAATGCACACACTATCTTTCATCCTACCTCTGTAAGCGGCTGCTTCAAACACAAAATGCACTTATTGGTCACGTTGATCCGACACACCACAAATGCTCCTCGTGTGACCAACGATGATATATTCGGTGTGCACGTGTTAAATTAGGCATAAATGTGCTCTACAATTCTTCAGAAACTGATGCATCTTGAATGTTCATCAAGATACGTGCCCCTGTTTCACGCAAATATAATCACGGTCTGTGGTAATCGCCTGCCTAAACTAGAGTCCGCACGTCTGACCTAATATGTCCGTATATATATATAGAATCACGTGACTCTCGTTGACTGATTTAATTTAATAGCCGGACGTAGAACATGCACATACAGTGTCTATCACTACTGGACACAAGTGCAACATTCAGTGGCGTAGTTAGAGGGGGCAAAGGGGGCCATGCCCCCCCCCACTGTTGATCCAAAAGTTTAAAAAAAGAAGAATTGTTCTACTAAAATGAGAATTGTCGTAGTCAGAATGAAGGCTGTACATGTACTCAAAAGTGCCTCAAATACCATCTCCTGCAATCTACATTTTCCAATTTTTCTGTGGGAGGACCCCCATACCCCCGCCTGTTTTCACCACCTTCCTTGGAATCCTACCTATGGCCACTGAACAGTTACATAACTTTGGAGCATAGAACAACAAACAAAAATGTGGCCTTTTTGCATGGCGCCCAAAACAAAGATTGCAGAGCTGAGAGGTGGGGGAGCGTAGGGTGTGGAGAGGGAGGCGGAGGAACCATTAAAATATTAAGTCATCCACTATTTTGCGCAGTTTGCCATTTTTGACCCCCCCCCCTGTTAAAAAATAATGGCTACGCCACTGGCAACATTAGTAGGCAATGTATATACCTGAACCTAAATGCTCTCATGTCGAATATACTCATAGGTATTTATGTCACGACGGTAGTGCTTTATGGAACGAGAATGGCGGTATAAGCGATTCGAAGCTGTATAGGGCGAGAGTCAAACCGCTACATAACGTCTCACAGTAACGTTTTGCGAAATTTCATCTGCGTCACGTGAGTTTTCAGCACGTGATGCATGTCGGCTGGCAGCTACGCTGTCGCCCCTGCTCTCTGATAACAGCTGCTGCCGTGGTCTCAAGACATGCTACAGATGCATTCACGTACCGCACGCAGTGTGTGTGTTCTAGGAGAGAATTCTGAAAGGTATACAGAAAGCTCGCGCATTGTAGCAGAGAGTTCATATCTACCGTACGCGCCGCCCGCGTGCGCGGGATTTATGTAATTTTATAGGTTTCATGCAAAGATGTGTGTGCGGCTGTGATATGAGCTCGCCGAGACTGTGTGAGAGATGAGATCGATGAGTGAGTGGTGCATAGACTCCTCCGTGAACCTAGAGCGCGTGTATTCCTTGTCTGCGTTACACACACACGCGCGCGTATGCACGCACGCACGCACGCACACACACACACACACACACACACACACACACACACACACCCATACACACAGACAGACACACACAAACGCACGCATACACACACGAACACGAGAATCGTCGTCGAAATTTTCAAAAACAGCCGTCAAAGGCTACAATTCGAAGCTGCACTCCGCCCTTGAAGCAAGCTCACACAACATCACCATTCATCAGAAGCAACAACAGCACTAACAGCAGCAGAATTACTAACAGTAACAGAAGCAGAAGCAGCAGCAGTGGTCGTAGTATAGCAGCAGCAGCAGCCGCAACAGCAGCAGCAGCAGCAGCAGTAGCAGCAGTAGCAGCAGTAGCAGCAGTAGCAGCAGCAGCAGAAGCAGCAGCAGCAGCGTTCTCGTCATCAGCAGCAGCGGCACCGGCCGCGCACCTCATCGCAACGTCGGCTGCGCTACTGACGAGCAGACGCATACGCGTGCTCGTGTCTCCCGCTGCCGCCGCGCCAGCTATGACATCACAGGCGCATCTACAGGCGACCAGTGGCGTGGGTGTCGCCACGTCCTCGCACAATATCTGTAGACGAAGAGGCAATCGTCGTCGCAGTCGTTGCCAGAGCGACTCCGAGTAATCGGAAACGATTCGCTGCGACGTCAAAGGCACGAGAAAGAGCATAGAGGAAGAAGGCGGGTAGCTTCCTCTCCTTCTCGGCCGGCGGCCAGGTTTCATCAGTCTAGTCACATCCTTTCGTGCGCCTCGCGAAGCTGGCGTGTAGACAACGTCAGGCAAGGCTCGCCGGCTGGACGCCAAGCCAATAATATGCACCCGGCAATTACAGAAACAGATCAAGCTTCTGCACTGTATGCGAGCAGCAGTCTGAGCAGCAATGCCGCTGCTGCCGCTGCCGCCGCCGCTGCTGCCTCGCAGGCTGTGAAAGCGTATTGTCTGTGAAATCAAGCAAACTCACGTGGCATAATATACACGGCGTCGGCTCAACGCCAGAAGGCACAGCGTCTCGGCGAATCCTGAACTGAATATAGCGGCCGAATACGATCTATATGTTAACTGACCGATGACGCCAGTGTCCAGTCGTGCAGCCATGACCCTTGCCGACGGCACTACTAGTCCTGGACATCAACGCAGTGAGGTCAAGTGAGAGCTCTCTGGATGGCGGTGACTATATGATGTCGCTATCGCCGTTCTACAGCCACACCGCGTGCTGTACTGTGGAGCAAAAGCAACATCAACAGCGGGCGAAGACGCGCAGGAGGTGGAATGCCACGTTGCGGCGAGGAGTGCGCCGTATGCTGACCAAGCTACCGCTAGCGTCGAACCTACTGATACTGTGCTTTATCGTTGTGCTGCTCGCGTTGTAGTGCGGACTAGAGGAAGATAGAGAGGAGGTAGAGTGAGAAAGAGAGAGAGAGAGAGAGAGAGAGAGAGAGAGAGAGAGGGAGATAGAAAGGATCGAATTGGTAGAGTAAGAAAGAGATGGAGAGCGAGACGATATTGCGTAAACATTGATTCGATTGCAAAATACTAGTTCGAGATTGAGCGATCGCCCTACTTCATCATTGTGGAAAAATATCCTAGGGCAGTTACGGTCTCTGACTGACGAGCAGAGACTCGCTTAGAAGGCGCACCAGCCAACAGCTTCTAATGTTTGTCCATAGCAACGCATAGCGTGCATGCGTGCATGTGTGAGTGCATCTCACCTCCAAGGGCAAGGTGGCAACAGCGTATGTATTCGGACACGCTCGTGCCACGGCGATGAATTTCCCCGCGGAGAGGTGTGTACATCATGGATTTTAGCCTGCCGTCGACACACAACTACAATCATGAGCATCCCTGCTCACGTTCCCGCAATGCTCGTGATCCTTATCCCGTGCGTAGCTGTCGGTGTGCTCATCTACGTGCTAATGTCCCTGCACACGAAAATAGACGAGAATGCCGAGCTCATCGAGCAGGATTTGGAGCCGCTGAATGAGAAGGAACTGATAATCAAAGACAACGTCATCGGCACCATGGTGTAGATGTAACGATAAGGCGTCCGATCACGACAAGATGGCTATCGATTACGTATACACGCACGTATCAATTCTTAGGTAAAGCACGGTAAACAACGTGTGGTTAGATTAAGAAAGAGAAAGAGAGAGAGAGAAAGAGAGGAGGTAGGAGGAGGAGAAGAGAGAGAGAAAGGTAAATAAAAGGCTGAATGAGACAGGGGAGAGAGAGCGCGCTGGAGCGGGAGAGAAGGAGAGAGGGGGAGAAAGAGAGTATCTGGGGGAGAGCGAGGACTGTGAACGGTTGCGTTCTATACCAAAGAGGAAAAGGAACGTCTAACGCTGATTTATGACATTTATAAAATTACTAAATGTAATAATGAGAACGGTGAAATTGTGTTAAGCTACCGGAAATGTTTAGCTACCGGAAATGCGTCAATTTATTATATAGCGTGTTAGACTACATGTTTAGATTCTAATTAAGCATCATGTTCTGTGAAGGGCTACATCGCTATTCCATATACAACGAGTTGTTTCAGATCTATCACTATTCCCTGTGACAGAGATGCTCGTATGCAGCCTAGTTATATACCTAGCATTTGTATAGCCTATATACATATACATTGTATCCGATTGGTCTGTAAACATCATGGGGTTAGGTGAACAAAACATTGGTCAGGTTCTCTATCCAAGTGATTAGCGTGGTTAAATTAGATTCCTATAAAATGATCACATGCAAAGAAGCGACTGATGTGGTGATTGCGACAAGATTATACGTCATAAGAAGACGTCTTCTATGTCGCGTGAACTCCTAAGGAATACGATGTAGGATTCGACATACCCCTTTACAGAACAAGTTAAATTATGATATATATATATATATATATATATATATATATAATATATATATATATATATATATACCTCACCGATGTTGGAGCGAAGAAAAGTGACATGATCACCGTTCGTTCGTTCATTCGTGCGCATGGGAAACGATGCATTACTCATACACGTCAACGTTGGGCAGAAAATCATTCACAGGATATGTGATACTAGTATACGTACCTCGAGAGAGGAGGGAGAGAGTAGAGAGAAGAGAGAGAGAGGAGAGACGAAGAGGAGCAGCAGAGAGAGAGAGAGAGAGAGAGAGAGAGGCAGAGAGAGAGAGAGAGAGAGAGAGAGAGGAGACGAGAGAGACGAGAGCAGAAGAGAGAGGAGGAGAGAAGAAGAGGAAAAGCGGGAGGGAGGCGAACGAAAAAAGATAGAGAAGTTAGAGATTTGAGTACATCTGTGTGTTGCAAATGTGTGATGAAAGTGATGAATGAGAGAAGAGAAACAGAGAGAATGGAGGAAGGAGAGGGAGGGAATGTGTATGAAGCGCAAGGGATGCAATAGATGGAGGGAAAAGGGGCGGTAAGAGGAAGAGATATGATCTTAACGTTAATTTTACATTTGAGGGCTTAGATGTGTTATAACGAGCACTCCTCATCCAAACGCAACTGCTAACAGCAATCTTGTATTGCACATGTTACACAGTGATCAAGAGGGTTGTTGGAAGCCTAGGCGCGGATTCTGCCTGATTCAACGGCCGCGGCGCTATGCCGCACCTTCCGAGCACCAACAACAACGCTGCAGCCAGCAGTTTAATTATTCAAGTTGTAATTCAACTGAAAAACACATGTTTGCATTCTTAGGATAGGGAGCTTTCAGGTGAAACACAGTCAACACACATTATTACAATAACGGCTTAT